AATTATTTTTTATTTTTATATTTTATGTCTTAGATAACAATTATTGAAGACTTTTATTTATAACATACAAAAAAAAACTGTCTGACGTCAAAGCGTACTGCGTTAGCCTTGCCGAAAATGTCTATAATTGCGACGCTAAGCATAACATTAAGTGCCTAGCGCAACGCTGATTTCATCAAGGGCGGCCCTTTGATCGCTATCTAACTTTTTAATTAATGTAAAGAGACAAGTTAACCGCAACGAACGATATATAAACATTTCTATAAGGCTCTAAAGTGCACTCAAGTTTTGAGTAAAAATTTTTCCCAAACATTTTCGTAGAACATTTTCACTTTTTTGCCATCACTTAACTTCATTAAAGTCGAGATTCAACGAGTTCTAGTACTATATATGTATGTGTGTACGTATATATACCAACAGTATGTAAAGAAAAAATCTACGTCCTCACCTGTTATCATTATTACTATTAGGAGCGTCAGTGCAACAAGCCCTTGCTGTCTGCTCTACTTACACTTAAACACATATGTCTGCAAAAAAATTCTTCTTTTTGCCATTAAGCTGAAAAACCTTTTAACTTTATACCATTTGAGCCATTATCTGTTTTGCTTACTTCACTTACTTTTCGTTTTTACCACACATTCATTTCGCATAGCTATTTCCTCCCACATGCATATGTATACAATGCATTCGGCTCTTCATCCGCTTGCGTTTGAAGCAAGTCAAGTTATACTCAAGACTTGCCTCAGCCATTACTTTATTGGCATTCCATTTCACTTTGACTCACATACTCCAGCCTTTTCCTACATATAGTTTTTTCTGTTTTTTTTTTTTAATTTTCTCCCTTCTTTGTGTCTAAGCCACAACTGACTACTTGTTCTGGCTAGTTGACTTGCTGCCTGCTGCCTGCTGCCTTGGTTGGCTAACTGCCACTCATACTATTACACAAATAGACTTCCGTTGACATTGACATGTCATGTTCATGGCGCGCGGGTGAGTGAATTGAGGTACATAAATGGCTGTAAGAAAAATAAAAAAAAATGCAGTCAACCTCAAGTGGTTGAGTCACGTGTTGCCACATATCCGGCACAAAAAGCTTGTTTTGCAGTAGTAAATGCACATACATACATACTTATATAGTTTTGCAAAAAAACATACATAAATTTTGTACATATTTATAAAACTATGCATGCGGCATGTAAAAATTTTGTGTAAGGTCGTGAAAGGACCTACATATTTTGCACTCATAAACTCTTCAAAACATGCATTGCATTAGCACATATAAACATACATACATATGTACGAATGCTTGCCTGTAAGTACATTTGTGTATGCCAACGAATAAGCGTCTTTCGCACAGATATACAGATACATAGAGTATATATGTATGTATAAAGATAATTCCTTATTTTGCCATCTTTTTTGTCGATTTTGGGTTACTTGGCGTATGAGCAACATTCAGAATATACTCTACTTTCCTTTCATAAGTTTGTTTTAGTTTTTATTTTACTGTGTTTTTGTTTTTCTTCACAACTACATACATACATATGTACGTAGTTGTTTTTCCACTAAGTCCGTAAAATGCTCATGAGTACAAAACAGTTTAGTTTCTTAGTTTGCTTCCAAGTGTCAAAAAGCCTTCCAGTCAAGTTAAGCACTGCTTATGACAAAATACTTAAACGTTTGTGTTCAGAATGAGTTGTCTGCCAGGGGAAATAAGCTAATAAGACTAGGTATTTATATCTTCTCTTTGCCGATGTATGAAAATAATTGAAATCCGATTTTCTTTTATTTATAAGTTTCTTTGATTTTTTGTTTAAAAGTCCCCCGCTTGAATTTCAAAATTAATTGGAAATCACGGTCAAAATCGTCCTTTAAAAATTACTGTACTTGTGTATGGGTGTTGTTGCAACCTGTTTAGTTTGATCTGTTTTCGCATTTTTTTTACCTTTAATTTGAAATTAAACTTTGTAATAAAGATAAATATGAAGATAAAGAAATAAATGATAACGATGAAGACAAAAAGTGAAAGCAAAAGTGAAGCTGAAGTCGAAAATAGATACAATCAGATATATATAAGAATTAGGGCAACTGAACGAGTAGGGAAATTAATTGAAATTTTTCGATATAAATCGAAATAAATTTAGTCATAAAAGTTATCGAAATTTATCGAATCATCGAATGTTATAGTAATCGAAATTTATCGAATCATCGAAGTTATCGAAATTTATACATGCTTATTAAGTTATGGCAACATATCGAACTATTCAAATTGATCAATATTTATTGGGTTGTCGAAATATATAGTATAGTTGTCGAAATATACGGATAGCTATCGAGCTATAAAAATTTATGTGATTATCGAAATTTGTCAAGTTAAAGGTATTTATCAAGTTATTGAAATTTATTTAATTATCACTATTTATAGACTATACGAAATTTATAGGGTTTTCGTAATGCATCGAGTTCTTTCAACTTACATAGTTATCGATAATTATTGATCTCCTGAAATTGTTCGATTTATAGAATCGAAGCTTATGGAATTTTCAATATATATCGATTTATTGAAATTTCAAGGTTGTATAAATTTATCGAGTTATCACTGCATATCGTAGCGTAACAAAGTATCGAAATTTTTCGATAGCTTTCGAAAAATATGGAGCTGTCAAAATCAAAAATTTATAAAAGTATCCAAATATGTATACATTTTTGAGTTATCGAAATTTAACTAGCCCGCGAACTTCACAGTTATCGAAATTAGCCGAGCTATCGAATTTTGTTGAGTTATCGGATTTTAGTGTTTTCGACATTCATCGAGTTATCGATATGTATCAAATCACTGAAACTTATCGATAGACTGGAATGTGTCGGGTCAATACCAAGTCCTGCCGAAGTCCTCCAAAGGCCTTGAAAGATATAAAAAATTTTACTCACGGTTTAGTTCCAAAGCGAAAGATTTTCCGATTTTGGCGCAAACCCTAAATTACTCAAAAATTGGCAAAATTTAAAACATAACGGGTGATTTTTTTGAGGTTAGGATTTTCATGCATTAGTATTTGACAGATCACGTGGGATTTCAGACATGGTGTCAAAGAGAAAGATGCTCAGTATGCTTTGACATTTCATCATGAATAGACTTGCTAACGAGCAACGCTTGCAAATCATTGAATTTTATTACCAAAATCAGTGTTCGGTTTTTTCCGCTTTTTTATCGACAAATTTTGTTCAGCGATGAGGCTCATTTCTGGTTGAATGGCTTCGTAAATAAGCAAAATTGCCGCATTTGGAGTGAAGAGCAACCAGAAGCCGTTCAAGAACTGCCCATGCATCCCGAAAAATGCACTGTTTGGTGTGGTTTGTACGCTGGTGGAATCATTGGACCGTATTTTTTCAAAGATGCTGTTGGACGCAACGTTACGGTGAATGGCGATCGCTATCGTTCGATGCTAACAAACTTTTTGTTGCCAAAAATGGAAGAACTGAACTTGGTTGACATGTGGTTTCAACAAGATGGCGCTACATGCCACACAGCTCGCGATTCTATGGCCATTTTGAGGGAAAACTTCGGAGAACAATTCATCTCAAGAAATGGACCGGTAAGTTGGCCACCAAGATCATGCGATTTGACGCCTTTAGACTATTTTTTGTGGGGCTACGTCAAGTCTAAAGTCTACAGAAATAAGCCAGCAACTATTCCAGCTTTGGAAGACAACATTTCCGAAGAAATTCGGGCTATTCCGGCCGAAATGCTCGAAAAAGTTGCCCAAAATTGGACTTTCCGAATGGACCACCTAAGACGCAGCCGCGGTCAACATTTAAATGAAATTATCTTCAAAAAGTAAATGTCATGGACCAATCTAACGTTTCAAATAAAGAACCGATGAGATTTTGCAAATTTTATGCGTTTTTTTAAAAAAAAAAGTTATCAAGCTCTTAAAAAATCACCCGTTATATAAATAAAAGTAGGCTAATTTTCATTCGGATAGCTCGTTAAAAGGGCCCTATTGCACCAACGACTTATCACTTATCACTTTACAACTTTTGGATAAGCCTTTTTTCTGAAAAGTAAAGTTGATAAGTGTTGCACTTTTTACTTATCAAAAAAAACTTATCAACTTATCAAAAATTGAGTAACTGACAAGCATTTTGGATAAGTCGATTTGATAACCATTGCACAGCCAATTTCTTTTGCTTTTAAAAAAGAGAACTTTTCCAATAATGTGCTTAGCTAAAATGATTACCATTTCTCAGTGGAAAACGAAGGCTTAGCATGCCCATGTGCGATTTGATAAACATTTTCAATTTCTCTTTTTTTCTTACCATGTCGCGCGCACAAAGCAAAGCCAATAAATTGGCTGTGTTAAAAATTATTAAGGAAAAAAAAAGTAAGTAATTCTTGTCTATCATATGAATGTTTATTTGAATAACGATATTTTTCTACATTTTAGGATTATTTATTTGGATCTTTCCAAAATAATGCAGTAACAAAAACACAAAAACAGGATGCTTGGACTGAAGTTCTGAAGAGGGCTCAATCCCTCGGGTTAGCTACTGCTAACCGCGAGTGGACTTATGCCAGAGACCACTTATTTGGTCTTTGGAAGAGTCGGACCTTGGTAATTTTGTTAGATAAATTAAATACTTTACAATCAAAGGTAGACACTACCACAAACAAACGTGAGCTAAATGTGAGAATGTGTTGGTGTAACTAATTCATTTTGCATGCTGTCGTGTTCTCATCGTTACGCTCTTGCCTATATACGTACACGGGATGTTAAGGCTCTTTAAGCAGCTGCTCACTCTTTGCCCATGTCTGTTTACAACCAACTAATTTTTAGTTTGAAAAGAGACAGCTACGCATTCCAAAAACAAACTATAACAACAAAGCTAACCAATAACAACAATTCTTTCTTTGTGTACATGTCGTTTTGCTTAAGAATTTCTGTAAAACAGTTATTATACAGGGTCCGAACAGTAATATTAAAAAAATCTCTTTATTTCAGGCTAAAAGAGACAATGCCAAGAGTACAGGCACTGCGGGTGGCAAAAATGCCAAATTAGATGAAGTCGATAATTGTATCCTCGACATTTTGGGTAACGAGTCGACGGTTGTGCAGGGTCTCGGCCAGCCCGAAAGTGATGGAGTGTCCTCCAATTTGGACTCTACATTGGAGAACAGAGAACCCCAGAGAGCAACCTCGAGCAACAAAGACAACCCCAAGAAACGAAAAGTGCATACATGTGAAGAACTAAAGGTTCAATTATTGGAGAGTGAGCTGTACAAAAATAAATTAAAAATATTGCTGTTAGAAAAAAAGTTAGGATTGAAAAGATCGAAATTCACAGAGGATTTAGAGGAGGAATCGAATAATGACAATTCTGACACTACTCACATGCCTTTACTGAGTCCGATACATTCCACCCGAATTCTTGATATTGGGGATTATTAATATGTACATACATATGTATGTACATATGTACACTGGCAATCAAGAGTGAGTGCATGGTGATTTTTGTTAAATATGTGCAATGGTTTTCAAGTTAAAATTTTTTTGTTATTTTTTTATAAAACTATGGTTCATGCTTTAACCAAAACGACATAAGTCAAACTTTCAAACTTTATACAGAATTTAGGAAAATTCAACACCGTGCACTCACTTTTGATCGCCAGTGTATGTATGTATATATTTTTCTTATACTCAAGTTGAATTCGTTTAAGTTTAAGTTTTATATGTTCGTAATCTATATACATATGTAGATATGTTTATGAAATAAAGTTGATTTAAGATTGACAATAAAATCTAAGAAGAAAAAAACTATTCATTAAAATAATTTAGCAGTCTTCTGAGCCTTTCAGAATTATTTTGTGATTCCGTGTTTTCGGTGAAAAGTTCTGAAGAGTCGTTTTGATTTGAATCATCGAGAATTCCTTCGTCATAATCTACATCACTTTGTGAATCCAGTCGACAAATGTTGTGAAAAATGCAGCACATTATTGTTATCTTCGCTGCTTCTGATGGCTGTACCCGTAAATGATTTAAGCAAGGAAACTTTTCTTTAATGATGCCTGTAAAAATAGCTTCTTTTATAAAAATCTTAATTGGCATATGTCTATAATTCGTACCAAAACAATTTTCAATAATCCTCCTTGTTTTTTTATGCGCTCTATTAAAAAGTTGTTCTTGTGGAGACGTAGGATTGCTGCGTAGTGGAGGAATTAGCCAATCGAATAAAGGATAGGCACTGTCTCCTAAAAGCACGGCATCAGGGAATGGACGGAATCCATTTTCAAATCTGTGGAATAACCCAGAATTTCGCAAAACTCTGGCATCGTGCACACTCCCTGGCCAATTACAGTTTACTGCATAAATTTCAAAATTAGGTCCACAAACCATCATTGCATTAATTGAATGGTTTCCGTACCGGTTAACAAATTGGTACTCATTAACCTTAGGGGCGTCTATGTTTATCATTGTTCCATCAATGCACCCTGCGACTTGTGGAAATCCACCAATGTTGAAAAATTGTGTGGCAATATTTTGCGTAAATTCCGGCCAACAAATAGTTTCATCCATCAATTTGTTTATCACGGCATTTGCTACTCGATGGATTACCCTACATACCGTTGATTTGTGGACCCCATGCATTTGACCAATTCCATGATATTGGCTACCATTACCTAACCAGTGCAGAGTCGTTAATAATTGCTGTAGCGGACTTAAGCAATTATTACGCTCACTGTTATATTGTGGGTCTGCTCCAATTTTTAATAAAATTTTTTCAATTTGGCTACGAGATAGCCGAAAATTTTCTCGCACGCCAATATCTAAACCGTAGTTGATTCGTTCTTTTATGACACGCCTTATTTGCGGATTTTCGTCCTCTAATAAATTTAATAGTTCGAATCTAAGCATTTTTTGTGTAAATATTTTATCGAAGCACGTGTTAAAGCACTGATTATTTCATTCAGACTGAATAAATGTAACTTATCACTGGTATGATAGGTAAAATTATTTTTAGCAAAATAATGCTAAAGTTAGCAAAATTAAAGATGATAACTGATAAAAAAAATATTTTGGTGCAACGAAATGCTAATAAATTTTGATAATTTGCATAACTTATAACTTATCCGCTAAGATCTTTTCGCTAAGCATTTCAAATTTTGGTGCAACTCTTGTCTATGATTTTGAGTGATATTTTACTTATCAATACTCATTTGAGTAACTTTTCCTTATCATGTTGGTGAAACACAAAACTTTGCGCAAGTTCGATAATTTGCTAAAATGCTAATGATAATTCGTTGGTGCAATAGGGCCAAGATCTAACAACTAGTAGGAAAAAAATTTAAAATTTTCTGCCGGAAATTGGAAGGTTAGTATTTTTTTAAAACATCTAAATTTTTTAATTCTTCAAAGACAAAAAATATTAACTAATATATAAAAATCTCTTGTCACAAGATAAAAAAAAAATCAAAACAAAATCACGGGGATTGATAAGAGTCTTATTGATAATTTTAGCATAACATTAAGAGTTTTATTCTGCGGAATCCCGGATAATGTTAGAACGTTTAAGGAGCTGCTAAATATTACTAAAAACTCATATTTGATTCAATATGGCTGTATTACATGCCAAATACAGTTCATAAGGCTTTAGTAGTTATATGGGTGATGTTTTGGAATACTTAAACTTGCCAATAGGTAATAAGATTAAAAAAAAAAAAAACGTTTTAAAAATTTTATTATTTATTATTATTTTACCCTAGGGTGTTTGTCCGAAGAAGGCTTAGAAACCAATTATACAAATATAGGGCATATGCGATTTTTCCATGCAAGAATAACTACGAGAGAAAACACAAACAGAGATTTAACGGGTTTTTTGTTTTAATTGTTGGATCCGGAACTATCATCACTTAGGTCTAAAAAACACCCAAAAAAATGGTGAATTCAAAGAATTTCCTTTTAAAATAAATTATCATATTAATTGAGCATATTTAGAAAAAATTTTATTTGTGAACCTTTTTAAAGAAAATTTTAAATTTTTAATTTTTTTGCAAAATTCATACACAAAATTTTGCATAGAGTTAAATAGTATAATTTTGCAAGGTACTATTAGTTTTTAGTGGATTCTGATCACAAATGTGGCAAAAATCTATTTTTTTAGAAAAGGATATATGGGAGGTAGTCATGTCCTTGCACCGAACGATCAAAATTTTCCGCACAACTTGAAGGCATAATTTCACGCACAGTTACCAATTTTCGCTGTATTCTGTTTATTATAGTAGCTGAAATGAAGGATGTAAGGGAGGTAGTCATGTCCGATATTTCCGAAACTTCGATTTTTTTTTAATTTACATATTTTGAAGCAGCACACCAAATTTCATTATTCTGCGATAACTCCCCTTATTTTTGCCGATTCATACATATTAAAGAGGCAAACAATTCGCGGGACTTTGTGCTGGGTTTTTCTGATTAAAAAAAATTACCAATATTCCACCTGCGTTAAATATATAAACATCATCTACCTACCTATTCCATACTTATCCTTCAACATTTTATTGTTGCATTTACTTTGATTTGAAAACAAACCCAGTATCACGAAATGGAATCCTCTAATTTCATGAACTTTATACAGAATTTGCAACAGAGAAACATAGAACTACCATTCTACGTACATAAAAGTCCAAAAGCTTTGAATCGCCAATTTTCTATAGGAATTTCTACTTGAGATTTCTTCTTTTTTCGTAAAAATATGTTTTATATTAACAAAAGACTTAGTTGAAGTAAATTACGGTACGCTTTGTGATAATTTATTTTAAACTGATTGGCTGTGAAAACAATTATGTCTTATTTTATAATTTTCATTACAATGCCGGGGAAAATACATGCTGACATGGGTCGTCGAAGTCAATAAAATGAACAAACCACACTGATGACCAGCGAGTGATCGAACATGATATTTAATAGCGGTATTGGTATATCCGAATAACGTTCGAGAGTAACTGAAAACGAACGGCAGGTAGATAGCTATAGAATGTAAAGAAAATAATATAAGTTCTTTGGGTTTTATATTTCCACTGTATTAGGCTGAGCAACAGCAAGGGGCCGAATAACTCTAGTATGTTATAAATAACATACTACTAAAATTATTTTCATTTGCTTTTCGAATCTGAATTGGAGTATTTCAGCCTAAGCTACCTTGAAGGCCTCTTATAGAAAAACCATCATAAAAGATGTCAATGCTTCATACTCATTAAGTTAAGTTATTCTATTAATGTAGCCATAGCTGTATCAACAGCAGGTATTGTATGTACATTAACACATTAAAATTTTCCGCAAGTTTCCCTTTGTTTTTGGCACACCTTTCTTTTTTTTGATCATTTTCCCATGTCTACCTAAAGCAATTATTTCTTCGCCAAAGCCAGTTCGAAAATTTAAAACCTATTCTTTCATTAGTATTTGAATAAAAATGACGCAATAAACAAATAAAATCGATTCAAGTAATTAAAACTTTGCCATAAATCACGCATATTTTTTTTAATTGCCTAATCCTTTTTAATACTCCAAACATTTATCCCATATAAAATTGAAAACATAGCTTTATTTTCACTTTGCAATCAAGCAGTGGCAAAAAATACACGATGACACTCTAAGCGCAAAGTAAATGCTCACAGAAGCCGATTTAATAAAAAAAAAGCAGCAAAGTATTTTTGTGGAAAAATGACAGCGGTTTGAAACAAATGCACTCAAAAAGAGTACTTAAAAAGTATTTAGTGAGACTTACGCTTTAGCTTAATTAAACACGCATCAAACTTTAGCAAAAGCAAAAGGGGAAATAGGAAACAAAAACAAGTAAGAGCAGCGCTGTCTTCGGCTATGCCGAAGGCTTCATACCTTTCATGAACATCTGCAAATTTTACTTTGACA